TATTTCCTCACAGTTCATGCCACTCCGGGCCAGTAGAACCCTTCAGGCACTCACTGCAGAGTGTGTTTCACCCCCATATCCCCCCCACAATACACAGCCTGAGTCATGTGCCAATTCCGACACGCCTGCTCAATAGCCACATGGGACTGCTAGCTGCTGCTGAATCTGGGAGCAAAATCAATACTTCCTATTCACAAGCATAAATTTCATAGCAGGGAACAATTGCAAGGAATCATTTCTGATCCCATTTCCTTTCTGAGGGAAATTCCATTCTCCTTTCCTTTAAACTGCTATTATTCAAGCATAAATTTCTTCAAAGGTACAGAGGGAATCCCCAGCTTGTTTAGATTAAGAAACAAGACCACAATTATATCATTATTAAGATAATCACCACCATGTTTATTTTGTTTCTCATCAGAATTAAATCTGCTTTTTCTTAAGATCCCTGTGGCATTTCAGTGATCATGTGCAAATACACTAGCAAAATCTCTGAAATATGTTTATGTATAGGGCCGGTGGCATTCAGAGCGAGAATGAAATTGTGTATACCTTGCCTACTCCAGGGTTCAGCCCTATCCGCAGGTAGTCATACTGAAATCATGCCATTTTAGTCATGGTTACTCCAATGACCGCATTTTCAGGTCTGTGCATGGGATGAATGCTTGTGCTTGCAATGATGCTCACGTTTATGGTGGCCTTGCTGCTGGGAGTATTTCCTCACCTGGTTTGGAAGGCTCAGACTAGGAATGGGAAATGAAGACTCTCAAGTCCACACCATCCTCTTCACATGTATTATGTGCCAGAAGACCTCATGATTGGCACCATTGTTTCTCATGGTGGCTTCCTCTCCAGCCCAGCAAACTTCTCAGAAGAACCCCCATCTGCATCACTTGAAGAGTTTATGTAAGGACTTTGTTTATGTGTGTTTTTTATTATTATTTCCATGTCTTTTTACTAGACTGACCTGTTCTAAAGCTGCAACCTGCCACAACATGGTTTATTGGCATTGAAATATTTAACAGACTTGGAGAGTACTGAACAATAAGGGAAATCTCTCTCACTTAGCCAATAAATGATGGACACACTTAGTTTTGTGTCTCAAAATTGTTTTATTTCTGTGAATTGCATTCATTTGTTCTCATTCATTCCTCTTCTGATTCATTCCTCTTCAAATTCTTCAGTGCACCTTGATTTCCTACCTGACATTCCCCATGTCATATTTTTCCTGTCATTCTACACAAGTCACATTTACCAGCATTGCAATGGAAGACTCAGTAGCATGTCATAAAATGCTCACCCCAATCATTTTCATGGAGCATTAAAATTTTTGCTGCTATATCCTGGATTACTGCAAACCAGTTATGTTTTTGTATATATTGCAATTTTCTATGATCCAGATGAAGATGCAGATCCATTTCTGTTTGTTTATGTCTATGTCTGTCTATGTCATCTTTCCTCTATCAATATGTGCTAAATCTGTGGTACTGTATAAAGGCCAGGAAATGTTTTATCTGGGCTTCAGTAAAATGCCAAAAACTCAGAGACCCTAGAAATTCTTTTCTACCTGCTTACTGCCTCCCAATTTCTCTATCTACCTTTTCCCCACTTTCCTTCTAATCTTCTCCAGAAATTGCAGTTGTGTGTGACACAAGCTCACATTTTCAACTCCATAACACTCATCAGCATTTGGCCCAAGTGTGAAAAATGCCCTTTTTGCATAAATCCTGCAGCCACCTTCTCCACTAAATGGTGATCACCCCAGTGTAGATCATTCTGTCTCTTTCCTAACAGCCCTCATTTCTTTGTTCAGCTCATTCTATCATGAATATATAAAGTTGGACAAATGCAGGAAACAATCTCTTATTCATCTTTGTGAGTAAATGAAGCATGTTTATCTCTCATATCCTTCCATGGAAAACCTCAAACTATTTATTAAAGTGAATGTATTGCTTTATATTTATAAAATACCTCCTCAGATATACTCCTCAGGCTTTATGAAAAAAGTTAAACCTGTAAAATTTGAGAATACAACATAAGCTCAAATATGATGTAAAACAACAGATGAATAAAACCAATTTTAAACCAGAAGCAAGGAAATAAAACACAGCAAAAAGTATAAAGAGGTCCCTGAACAAAACTGTATATAAATAATAAAATGAGGATGACAGTTATGGTGCTGCAAAAACAAAAAATAATCCCACTATGGCAATAATTAATTTGATTGTGAAATGTGACACACTTTTGCTACAAAATCCACCTCTCATTCTAGTGTTGTGGCAAAGGCTTACCATCTAATCCTGGCTCTGACATTTGCAGTGAAGGAAATCAATGAGAACTCTCAGCTCTTGCCCAATCTCACCTTGGGTTTCCATCTCTATGACAGCTACGACAATGCTAGGAGGACCTATCAAGCCACGATGCTACTTATATCGGCACTGGAGAGACTGATTCCCAACTACATTTGTGACATCCAGTTATAGCCTCACAGCTGTGATTGGAGCACTGGAACCTGAAATTTCCATTCACATAGCAACCCTCTTGGATATGTATAAGATTGCTCAGGTAGGACATACTTTCCTGTTCTCAGCATGTGTGTGCAGAATTGGATTTGTACAGGTCATTGAAGCATATGGGTGGTCTTTTCATTTTTCATATGCCAAGCTTCTGAGCTTAGGAGTCTGCTGCCATTCAGTATGTTAGCACTGTTTGTTGGTTCTCAGAAATGTGTATATCAAGGACATTTTCATGGACCAAGATTTCTTATTGTGAAATCCTGAAAAGAGTGCCTCAAAAATTCTTAGACTGACTTAAAAGTCATCTCAGCTGTGGGTGAGGGCAGTCTTAATTCTTCATGCATCATTGGAAAGAGTGTGATGTAGAGGTTAGAATGTGGTGCAGAGACTGAGAAAGTCCAGGTTCCAGTCCCTACTCAGCCATGCAGGGCACCAAATGACAATGGCCAAGACCCTGACACTCAGCCTAGCCTACCTGACAAAGCTGTTTTGAGGATAAAATGGAGAAGAGGAGGAGGATTGTGTAATGGGCTTTGTGTTCCTTGCAGGATATGGTGGGTTATGAATATAGCAAAAAGATCACACAACTTGGGATGCCTGATTATATTCAAATAGATAAATGTTGCTCTCTACCAGTTGCAATGTCTCTGTCATATGAAAGGACGAATCCATGTGGACCTCCTATTCAGTGTTATAAATGTTGCAGAATCTTATTGTGGGAGGGTGGGGTGATTGGGGATTCTTTTACAATTCACTGGGAAAACCAATTGCTTGTTATGTTTCCAGTTGGTTCCATAGTGTGGGGAACATAAAAAGCTAGGTCCAGAATATGTTGGTCGCCTTTCTGTTCAATTTAATATGAAGAGTTAGTCTTCAATACTGTAATGCACATCAATTTCAATGGGTCATGAATGAAGCTAATTTAGCTCTGATCCTATGAACCACCTCGAAAGAATGACAGAATGGAATTTTGAATATGTAATTAGGCCCAAATTGTGAGCCATCCCAAGATGCCATGCATAAGGGACAGCATATAAAAGTTTTAAATAAATAGATAATTTCATCCCTTTGCAGTAATGAATTCCTGGACCATTTCATTGATGTAGTTGAATTCATTTTTGACATTTGGAGTTGGATGAGTATACCAAATGATGCCAAAATTAACCTAGCCATTATATGTTCATCTTAGATCAGCTCCAGACGCTGTTGTCACTATGTCCACTCATACTAGTGTATGTGTGTGTGTAATGGATCATCATCACTACCACCACCACCATCACCACCTATATAATCCTTAGGCCCCTCGATAACATCAAAGGCTTCCATCCAAAGGGCTGTTTTCCTCAGCTGCTGAAAAGATGACAAGTTTGCCACAACAGGGAAGTTGCTCCAAAGGTGGGTGGTCATCTTGGAGCAACCTTTTAAAATGTATAGAAACTCCACCACTGGTCAGTTTCACACGAACAAGCAATGACCTTGTACTGGATGCAGCCCTTTCCACATGCCCACACACAAAAGTAAGAAAGTTATGCCATAAGGTAGGGGCTGGAAATGTCTGGTGGTCTGATTCTCAAAGGCATTCTCATGTTGCCTTCTCCTGACAAAGGGAAATAAATTAAATGGGGAAAATATGAGTTAGAGGCATATCACAGGCAACACACTTCTTTTGCATTCCTCAAAAGCCAAATCACTCATGCTAAGTGTGGAAAAGAAGAGGCTGATTGGATTGAAACTCACTGAGCAGCTCCCTAATCAGTTGGATACCTACAGAGGCAAGCTTCAGACATCTCATGGGCATTTATCACTCCAAACTGGAAGCTCTCAGAGACTGAAGCCCTGAGGGTCTATAACTGCAATGTGGCATCAGAACCAGTTTCTTGAACTTTCTGCATTGCTTCTCTGAGCCTTAGACTGCATTCCATGCATGGTACCCAATAAAGGTGCCAGTGCATTCTAAACCTTGGACATCTTTAGTGAGCAAGAAAACCCAGATGTGCAGGCTGCAACTGATGCCTCCCAGTTTCCCCCTCCACAGGATCCTAGGAGATCCTTTAAGAGACAAGCACAGTCTCCTAAATCATCACTCCTGGCCAGAGAATCACATTTGGACAGTTGGAGTAACCTGCCAATGAATACTGACTAGATTTCAATCTGTGGTCTGGCATCCTTCTAGGAAGAACCCCACGAGTCCTGTTCCTGAAAAATCACAAGCTTGAAAAGGTGACTGGGTAGAAATCACTGTTTCCATACCCAGTAAGACCCTTGCTCTTCCCTCTTAAGTCCCATCTGGAGGTCTTGGGATATCAGATTATACTGGAAGAGTGGTTGTGGAGGGAACATTCCTTCCCTTTCCCAAAGGTGCAACAAACTAATAATGTATTTGGGAAAGCCATCGCCTTCATTGATCAGAATCTCTCCAAAGACCTTCCATTTAAGATACTGTGTGTCTATGTAGGGCGTGCATGTGTCTGACTGTGTGCATGAGTGTCATGTTGTAATGTATAACATAAATCTCCTAATGCCCTTTCTCACAGACTCTTTCACTTCCATGTTTCTCAGACTATATATGAGGGGGTTAACCAAGGGGGTGAGGACTGTGTAGATGAGAGAGAAGGCTTTCTTCACATGGATTAAGTCCTTTGGTTGTGGTAGTATATAGACAAGCATCAGAGTTCCATAATACAAAGCGACCACGGTAAGGTGAGAAGAACATGTGGAGAAGGCTTTCCGCCTCCCAGTAGTAGATGGGATTCTAAGGATTGTGACTATGATGCAAACATAGGATGTCAAGGTGAGTAGAAAGGGAGGCAGGGTGAACACACAGGCAAATATTAAGGCAGTCAGTTCCACCAAAAGGGTGTCACTGCAGGAGAGCTTTATTATTGGGGGTGAGTCACAAAAGTAATGATCAATTTGATTGGGGCCACAAAAGGATAGCCACCACACTTTCCAAACTAGACACGTACTAACCAAAACTCCACTTACCCAAGACACAGCTGCTAACTGCATGCACAGCCTGCCATTCATGAGAGTAGCATAATGGAGTGGCTTACATATGGCTAAGAATCTGTCATAAGACATCATGGCTAGGAGGTAGCATTCAGCACCTCCTAGGCAAGAAAAGATGAAGAACTGTGTGAAACAGGATCTTACAGAGAGACTTCTTTCCCCAGTCAAGAGTCTCGACAACATTTTAGGCAGGATGGTGGAGCTGTAGCAGGATTCCAAGAAGGACAGATTTGCCAGGAAGAAGTACATGGGAGTGTGAAGGTGTTGATCTGCCACAACCACCACAAGGATGAGGAGGTTCCCAGCCATGGTTACTAGGTAGATCACTAAGAAAAGCATGAAGAGAAGGACTTGCACTTTGGGGAAGTCTCCAAATCCCAAGAGTATGAATTCAGATACTGTAGTTTGATTTTGCCATGCTGTCTTTCCCATGTGAGCTGCATCTATAGAAAATAAACCATAATCTTCTTCATCGTCTCATTGTTTGACACTAAACTTACATGGTATCACTTCAAATAGATTATATAATAAATGGTTTTCTGAATGTGGTTTAAAGTGTTATGTGCATATGTTATATAATACATCAAAGAAGCATACTGCAAAAAAATCTCATTTTGTGTGAATTGCTTTAAGCCTCACTGTCCCTTGAAAAGTCTGATTGTGCCACAGTCCCTTTACCATGTCTATGGCATCTAGAGGAAAACAAGAATGGAAGCATCATAATGCAAGGGTTCCTCTTTAAAAACCAGTCTGAAATGTTAGGATGTACAGATACTTTGTCTCTATGAATCACTTGAATAAGATAGTTCAATACATAATGAAGTGGAAATGTAATCATAGATTCCATCGCAGCAATGATATGTTATTGTATGATATACTCCAGCCTACTGACATCTGGGAAACAACATTCTTTGGAAAGTATATCCAATGAAAATATATTCATTAGTTGGAAAATATATACACCCTCTTGTATAGGGCTGGCAGGCTAACATTTATATCTTGGTTTAAGCTGTCAATATGCCAAAGCCTTCTCTCCTTACTCCTTCTGTCCACAACACTGCATTCTCATAGTCTCATGATGCAGCAGCAGGAGGAAACTACATTTGAAATGAAGGATGCTTGAACTTCCAGGATGCTAGTGTCTTATTGTCTTATTTTGTAGGAAAGAAATATAATTGCAATTTTTAAGGGCTTAGCTTTACCACCACACTGAATAGCATCGCCATAAGAATTGTTCAAAGTGATGGACTGTGTATTCAAAAGGTTGTCTGAGGGAGCATAGGGTAGAACAGCTTTTGAAATCCAAAAGCTTCCTTCCTTCCTTCCTTTGCTTCCTTCTCTTCCCCTCCAAAGCAACAGCACTAGAAGTCCAAAAGTTGCATTCTAGCAAGCATACAGGTTCAGAGCACAGCAGAGGTGAAGATTGTCTTTGCTGCTTTTTCCACTCTGCATAGGATGAGTGTGGGTCTCTGATTTCAGAGGTGTGGTCTCATCTCCATAGGATTGGGCCCAAAAGTTTTTTCTTCTTTCCCGTAAGGTTTTTTCAAGTTCCATGCATAGTGGAAATGATTCTCATGATCAGATGAAAATGTCCTGATCCTTTGAAAAGAGCTATTCCATACCACTTTTTAGTATTTTTGCATCCCTTTCCTCAGTGACCTCCACTCTCAGATTTTTATTGGGCAAACTTCCTTACCTCCTCCAGTTCCTTCCAATGGTGTCTGTTATTGCACTGCCTGGCCATGGTGCTTGGCCATTATAAACTGAGTATCTCCCTGTTCATTACAGTAGTTATTTATATCCTACTGAGTGATGCTGAACATTTCTCTTGACATTTCTGTCAATGGCTATTGAAGAATGGGTTAAAGGAAAAGGCACGTAAGGAGACACTCAGTGGGGGATAAATTCCCTATAAGCTGGATGGTTGACCAGGGAAGGATGCCCCAATTAAAAGTCTGAGTGCATCATTTTTTCCTTTTGCTTGATTATTTTTATCTGATTCCTCAGATGCATTGCTTTACTGATTGCTGTCCTTTTGTTGTTTCAAGTACTTTGTTATGCTTAATATGGAGGCAGAGGTGCACAACCATAAGATCCTGTTAGGTGTTTGAGTTTCTTCCGGAATACACTTCCAATAAGAAAACACTTCATGACTTTTCTCTAAACCCATTTAGGTTCAAAATGTTTGACCCTGAAAAATCCATTTTGTTTGAGCTCAGTGGACTTGCAATGCTTCTGATCCAGTGAACAGAAACAACAGGCAATATTCTTATTTCAGTTCCAAGATGTGTGAACAAAACAGTTATTCATATTGAGAATCAAGATCTGTATATTTGTAGTGCCATTTGTGTAAATAGGGTCTGACTCATATTTTTACAAACAAGGTTGTGCGTTTTTAAATATATGACTGCATTCATAAGGTTGCTATTTAATCTCTGCATATTCTCTTTGTTCAACATCCTTAGCAGTTTCATTCTCTTGTTATTTCATCATTAGTTTACTATATTCCCTAGTTCAACAATACCTTGTCATTGCTAATATCATCTAGTACAGCAGCAGAACTAAAAGTTGTCCACTGGAGGTATGTAATTTGTACACATGAAGTAGACACTTTTTTAAATTTTAGATATTATTTTTCAGTTTCAACAATTTGTACAAACTGAGTTATGGAATTTATTTTCCTTCTGTGCACCTCCCGGTTCTTCCCATCAATATTACATGCAAATTTATTTAACAATGAGTAAATACCAAGCCTCCCTTGCCAAGTCCAGCCTTTTTCTCAGTCAACTGCACAGGAGCCCTGAAATGCTGTTTCCAACATGCTTCCAACCCCCTATCCAGGCAAAAATTTTGACAAGGAAATGAGCATAACTTATAGGAAACAAAGGTCTTCTTGGTGCCTTACTCATCTGTTCCTCATTTCAGTAAATCACAGCAAAGTTCAAAATAGAGCTGCCAGGTTGCTGACGGGGACGGGGCGTTATGTTCACATGACTCCAGTCCTCCGTCAGCTTCACTGGCTTCCCATTGATGTCCGGGCCCAATTCAAGGTGTTGGTGATGACCTATAAAGCCCTAAATGGCTTGGGTCCTGGTTACCTGAAGGAGCGCTTACATCCATATATGCCCAGCTGCCCTTTGAGATCTGCGGGAGAGTCCCTTCTCTGGGAACCCTCCATGAAAGAAATTAGGAGGGTAGGTACTCGAAGGAGGGCTTTCTCTGCGGTGGCACCCAATCTATGGAATGAGCTCCCCAGAGAGGTCCGCCTGGAGCCGTTGTTATTTGTTTTTCGGCGCCAGGTGAAGACCTTTTTATTTAAACATTTTAATTGTTACCAATATTTGCTTATTTATCTGGCCAGGGTGACTTCTTTTACATTGTTATTTATTTTATATTGTTAATTTTATATTGTTAATTTTGTATTTTATTGTATTTTATTGTGTTGTAAGCCGCCCTGAGGCTTCGGCAAGGGGCGGCATAGAAATGGTTTAATAAATAAATAAAATAATAAATAAATAAAGTCAAGGATCAATATAGGCACATAACAAGACAGGCATTCTATCAGAAGTCCTGGGCCCAAATTCTGAAGAGATTTCAAAGTAAGAACCAGCAGCTATTTTTTTAAAAAAATATTGCACATATTCAATACCATTCTTTAACAGGAAAGCATAAAAGGTAAGGGGAAAAAAGAGAAAACTATTGAAAAATCCAAGCGTTAGACAGACAACCATTTTGCTTTCATTAAAGAGATGATGCATATTATTTTATCTCACAATACAAATGTAATTAGAATTGAAGGGTTGAATCTACACATAGAAAGGAATCTGCAATGTGTGCTGTTATTTTGGAGCATGTGCATGACCTGCATGGAGGGAAGTTGTGATCATATTCTCAATCTTCACTGGTGGTCCAGTTATTATAATTCCAATGGTTAGGTGATTGTCCATGAGAGTATCATGTTGTAATATAGAATATGAACCTCCTGAAACCTTTTCTCATGGACTCTTTCACTTCCATGTTTCTCAAGCTGTATATGAGGGGGTTAACCAAGGGGGTGAGGACTGTGTAGAAGAGAGAGAAGACTTTCTTCAGCTGTATTAAATCCTCTGATCGTGGTAACATGTAGACAAGCATCAGGCTTCCATAAAACAAGGCAACCACAGTGAGGTGAGAAGAACAAGTGGAGAAGGCTTTTCGCCTCCCAGTGGTGGATGGGATTCTAAGGACTGTGACTATGATGCAAACATAGGATGTCAAGGTGAGTAGAAAGGGAGGCAGGGTGAACACACAGGCAAATATTAAGGCAGTCAGTTCCACCAAAAGGGTGTCACTGCAGGAGAGCTTTATTATTGGGGGTGAGTCACAAAAGTAATGATCAATTTGATTGGGGCCACAAAAGGATAGCCACCACACTTTCCAAACTAGACACGTACTAACCAAAACTCCACTTACCCAAGACACAGCTGCTAACTGCATGCACAACCTGCCATTCATGAGAGTAGCATAATGGAGTGGCTTACATATGGCTAAGAATCTGTCATAAGACATCATGGCTAGGAGGTAGCATTCAGCACCTCCTAGGCAAGAAAAGATGAAGAACTGTGTGAAACAGGATCTTACAGAGAGACTTCTTTCCCCAGTCAAGAGTCTCGACAACATTTTAGGCAGGATGGTGGAGCTGTAGCAGGATTCCAAGAAGGACAGATTTGCCAGGAAGAAGTACATGGGAGTGTGAAGGTGTTGATCTGCCACAACCACCACAAGGATGAGGAGGTTCCCAGCCATGGTTACTAGGTAGATCACTAAGAAAAGCATGAAGAGAAGGACTTGCACTCTGGGGAAGTCTCCAAATCCCAAGAGTATGAATTCAGATATGGTCTGATTTTGCCATGCCGTCTTTCCCATGTGAGCTGCATCTATAGAAGATCAACAATATATCCCATGGCCTCATAGTTTAAACCCAAACTTACATTCAAATAAGTTCAATAACCTGTGCAGTTAGTAGGTTCATTGGATATTTCCTAACCAGAGCATCTTTTAGTGCATGTTGTTTATAATGCATGTTTTATAAAATAAATTAAACATGTTACAAATCTGTATTCAAAGCATTAGTACAAAAGTCTTTTCTTGATCTCCATACTTTCTGTCCTTCAGACTCTCAAATAATTAATTCTCAGAAATACATGCTGCTAAACAGCAAGCTAGAAAATCATTTGGACTTTGAACCTTGCCATCATTTCAGTATTATGTCGGCACTTACCCAATCACTCTAATGAAACTGAGATTCTTTAGTACACATCACCTGTCTTTGGGGAAGCATCCTTCTGTTCACATAAATAAAAAATAAAAGTGTGCTCCCTCATACTGTTTTCTCTACCTCTCATAAGGACCAGCAGTTTAAAAAATCTGAATGGACAATCAAGAAATCACTT